ATTTATGGCCTAGTTTAATAACCGGCCGAACACCGTTGTGCTGGGCAATAGTTATTATATTTAAAGACTGCGAAGTTCGGTAAAAAGTTCGAACTCGCATTATTCCACTCGAGATATCAATATTATTAGGTGCGATATTTTGTCGATATTGTGCATTATAGTTGTCCGCGTAGTCAAAACTACGTTTTCGAACGTGCAAACCAAAAGTAAGAAAAACACCAATATCATGTTTTTTAATACGTGTTTTTTAACAATACATTTTGTATTATGTATTGATTTATTGGTCCACCGAGCCGTTTATGTAATAATGGTTATAATATTATTATGGTCCGGAGGTGTCGATAATGTCTTAAAATAAATTTCTTATTACCTAGCGAAATATTGTACGGAACAGCACGTTCGTTTAAATCAGTATTAACTTAACTGAATTAAAAATTGTTAAACGAGAACTAACCACCCAAACATTGGAACGCATATCATGTAAGCACCTATTATTAGCGATTTCGAGCCGTTATTAAAATATTATATGTTTTTGAACTGCTTTGAATTATTTAAGCGTGAAAAATGAACTAAATATTTTTAATATCCTTTCAGTTTAATATCCACATCAAATATGCCAGGATTTAAAAATTTCACGTTTTACAGCGACTTTTTGATTTTGTATAACTTGTTCAAAGTTGAAACACAAACCCGATTGACTCAACCAGACTTCAGCATCTTCAGTTTCATCTATTATAATTATCGACAAATAAGAATAATATATCTACGTATTAGGCACCTATATTTCATAATAATATTACCAGGAAATGTTTTAGCTGAAGTTGATGTATCTTTAACAACTTTTAGTTTTCATTTCACATTCAATAGCACCTTTACTTCTCAAACAACTCGAGAAGTTCTTCCAATTTTCAACTAATTTATCTATTGCATGAAAACTATTTGCATTTGCATGTTACGGAATAAAATTTCTTTATAGGATGTGAAGTACAAAAGTTTTATTTTTCATAATGTACAGGCTGAGATTAATTTGACAATATTAACCTCTTGTCCGTTAGGAAATATTTAAATGATTAAAGATGCCATTTTTCGAAAGTAAAAATCAGTACCCCGGAAAATTACCAAAACATTCTCCCTAGTAATATAAAACTGATAGTATTAAGAATGAAATATATAGCTGCTGTACTTTAAAAAGCTAAATTGGTGTGAGGCGTACAGGACATAATATTTACAAAACCGATGATGGAATAAGTTTGAAACTTATCTCATAAACATTATAACATATTATCATAATATACAGCACGAAAACCATTGAACGTGCCCAAGTTTACATCTCTGATTGTAATATTACATTAATTATTATGTATAGGCGTGCGTAATGCGTGAAGGAACGATAATAATATAATATTATAGTTTATTATAGCTTATACCCACCTCCTAAGGAGTAAAATAAATATTATTTTACTACGTTGCATAAAATATCTGTTGGGCATTTATTAATAAATTGTTGTACAGAATACCACCTACTCTCGCGTACCCAAAATCGTATTATAATAGTATTTTAATTTCATATAGGTAGTAAGTTATAATGGTAATAACATTTCGAAAACGATTTGTTCTGTTCTCTGCTCCCGTTTGCCGCTTTCGGGCGTTGTAATAATAATTACGAAATGTCAGTAGCCCGCCGTAACCGTGGTAAGCTGCGGTAGTCTGCGTTTATTATAAATGTATATTATTATTAACTATTAATAAACTATTATCGCAGACATCGTATCAGTCGCACAGCTACCGCGGGCCAACGACGTCGTTATTCCGTTATTAATATTATTATTATTATTATTATTATTATTATAACGCATTCGTTTTTAATAACCAATTATTTTTTCCACATCCTATTCGAACGGAACGCGTCTTACACGCGTTATACACTTTAACCGAGGTATAATATTATTATCTACTGCACTCGCGTGATCTTATTTTTTACGATTAAAAAATTATAACACGTCTCGAAATAATGATAATATTATTATTATGCTAATATTCGAACTCTCCCCGTTTTGACGGTGGTATGTTATCTGGACGATCAGACCCCTGCGATAGAACGAACGCATCTCATTGATTCATTAATATTTTCGAAAATATTCGTCGGAAAGTCGTCTTAGAAGTCGAATGGCCGGAGGAAAGCTTCTCCCCCACCTCCCGATGATGAGGTGTTAGTGCTCGAGTCCGGCGATGAGAATGGGTCCGTTGATTTGTTGATTCTGACTGATGATTCAACATGTGCACCCGTTATTGTTCTTCGGGTTACCCCATTTTTTTTAAAAAAATAATATTTATTTAGAGGTTTGTAATAATTGGAAAGTAAATGAGTTGTGTTTTATATAAAATGTTCAATCTACTTTTTCGTGGTATGGTCTTAGCCTATCTACAATCTACATATCGTCGGCCTAATTCGCAAAAGTCGTATCTCCATTTTTTGTCATTTTGGGATTATTTACTCATAAAATAAAGAAAAAAAAACTGCGTCTGTTGATACAATCAAATTTCCGATTTCATAATATTATCCTCCATGAAATTGATAATTATAAATCGTCGTATCTCCAATTAATAATATGGCCGTAAAACGTTTTTTTCTTCTCCTGAAAAATTTGTAATTTTGGACATACGACCTTTGCGAATTAGGCCGACGATATGTACCTATATAGTGTCTATGGTTGTTTTTCCCTTTAAGTGTAGGTTAGAGAAAACAATCATAGACACTATATACGCATGTAGATAAGTTATTTCAATATATTTTAGAGAGTGTCATTAGCAAGAGAGTAGTAGATTTTACCTAGTGTCATACTATACGGATGACACCACACCATCTAATTTATTATCTATATATGTGTAATGTGTATACCTACTACATAAGGCCATAAGGGGTACACCGTGGTTCATTGGTAAATAACTTCTTATTTTATATGATAAATCAATTAAACATCAATTTCCATTGGTTTTATTATTTTACTGTTGGGCTATAACTTATGGCCGATACGGTTGAATACCAAACAATATAGGTATCTATTATAAGTGAACAATATAAATCAAGAATATATTTTATTATATTGATACATTATATTATTATATTTATTTTGTATTGATTCCACACGAATCTACGTCAAATATAAGACCTTTTAATAAACATAAAATTCAGTCTCTACAATTTTGAAAATAAACGGAATTTGATGGTTAGATAGATGCGACGGATCCAAAACGCGTTGTCTCGGTCATTAAATCGCACCTCCTCCCCAACGGGCACGACCCTTAACGCAATCGCGCGTATCGTCACGATGAGGGTGCGACACGAGAATAATATTGTAATTACGCTTAATTTTACCAAAAAGTGTGATTATTATTAAACGATATAGATAATAATATAATATAATATATTCTACATAATATGATGATAGGTAACACGGACAGCGGTTTATAATCGGTCATCGTCCTGCAGATCGCTAGCCGATAACTCGGTCGTCCTCCGAAAAAATAAGTCGTCGTGTTACGACGAGTGCACCTAAAATGATATCATGTATAATATGATTATAATATTACCATCGAATATTAAAATATTACTGCGGAATAATGACATCACGTGCTGTCGGCGGACGTTTCTCGTGTGTGGCTGATCATCACGCACGTATGCCTACGTATATTACTATTATGATTATTTATAATATGGGAAATAATGACGGACGGAATAAAAAACGAATTAACGTCCGTCGTCGGTGGTTCGATCGTATCGGAAAATGGGGAGAGAAAAATTGATGTGTATTAAGTGTTGCCCGCGACACCTCTGCTAACGATCGGTTGGCGTGTCGCCAATATGTGTTGTACAGTAATTATTATAATATTATGACGATATATTAAGTCTAATAATATAGAATACTAAATAAAGACACCCGAAATAGTGCGGTCGACCGAATAATAATTTAATGTTTTAATAATCGTTGTAGTATTTATTTTTTTTCAGCAGAATATAATATAATAATATGTATTGTAACATCATACCCTCGTCACTTTTGCATATATACATAATAAACGTACCTTCAAAGCTGGCCAAGTTGGTCAGTTTTTTCAACTAGTTTAAGTGAAGCTACTTTAATATAAAAAGAAACCTATAAAGTTAGAATATAAGTTAGTTTCTGAAATTCAACGAAATTTCTAACTTAGAAGTACGTTTGTCGAAAATAGTTGCTACATTTTATTATATAATATATTAATTAAATTATTATAAATATCTACGCTATAATGCTTTACCAAGCGGGTACGAAAACTCTTGAATATTATATTTATAACCATTTTATATTTATATGTATATTTAAACTCAATGACGCCTAGTAATCTTTTTGATATTAAATTAAATTAAAAAAAAAATTAAAAATATAAATCGTTTGAATTTTCGGGCTGCGTCCCACCCTATCCCCCCTCCATATGAAATAAAACATAATAATATTTAAATTAAAAAATAACCCCTTAAATACATGTGTGCCGTGTGTGTGACGCAAGGAGGTGCAGGTGCCTTGGAGCCCTTACGCTCAACGTGTGGTTGCACATGGTCAAGCAGTACGTGGAAAATTGAGTGCGCGGACGACGGGCTGGACAGCGGTGGCGAAACGGATGCGGTGGTGACGTCGCATTGGCCGTGGCCGCTGTGAACTCGGTGGCCGGCCGCAAAGGCTTGACGGAATTGCACCGGTGTGGCGTCGACGACGACAACGGTGTCGCTGCTAGCGCAGAACTTCAACGGTTACGTGACCGTCAACGAGCTGAACGCGTCCAGCGTCAAGGGGCCGGCGGACCACAGGTACCTGCTGGCCGGTGGAGGCGTGGCGATCATCGCGGCGGTCAACATCAAGTCGGTGGCGCGGTCGCTGGGCGGCGGTTCCTGTTCGCCGAAGTCCTTGCAGGAGTTTAGCAGCTGCGGCCTATGGCGGACCGCCAGCGACGGTGCGGCCGACAACATGCAGCTGCGGCACCACAATCTGCACTACCAGCACCAGCACTGCAGTAATCTGCATTCCGGGGCGCGGCCGTGTCATCGTCGCTGTGCTACGTCAGAACGTCGTTCCACGGCAGCACGTCGGTCAGGCTGTACAAGGCCTCTCGGGACAAACGGCGGTCCGGTAAGCAGCACGGGTAGACGGCGACGACGTCGTCCCGCCGCAATATCGTGGCCGGCGAGCTCCGATTGCTGTCCGACCAGCTGTTCACTGTCATACTCGTGTCCAATGCCACCACGGCCATCGGGTACTCGAACTCATGCCGTCGTACACCATCAGCATAGGTCACGAAAAGAGCAGCTCGCAGTACCTGCTGTCCGTGGCGGCCGTGCTCGACCTCGTCGGCCGGGTATAGGCAGCAGCACTCTGTCCGACTGGATCCGGCTGCACAAGCGGTACTACTACCTGGGCGGGCTCTTCCTGTCCGGCGTCGCGCTGTTCGTGCTCAAGTTCGCCGACGACTACCCGACCACGTGTTCGGGCTCGGTTCCGGCGGCGTGGTCGGCATCACGGATGTCATTATAGTCGACACGCCGAGCGAGTAACGGCTATCTTCGTCGTACTGTTCTGCAACGGGCTGGTGTTAGGTCATCGGGCCGCCCGTGGCCGGTTACATGTTCGAGTCGAACGGCTACGTTTTCCACGGCATGGGATTCATGCTGCTGTTTGGTGCCTCCACGTGGCTGCTGACGGCGTTCTTCAAGAAGAACCATCAACGCCACTGACTGCTGCGGTCGCCACTTATATTCTCTAGAATAATACTACTGTATGCATATATACTTAGGTACACACACAAAACCAGAAAACACACACACACACACCGTCGTAATACGCCTATCCGACTGGTAATATAATAATTTTTTGTTCCGTTTAATATATCCTTATAATATACGGGTGTTTACCAACCGGTTTCGGGGGCGGTTTTTGTACTGCACTGCGCGCACACTACACGAGTTTTACCCGGCAGCGACGATGGGACGTTTAGATTGGCCAGCTCCGTACAATTATTTATGAAATATATATGCGATGAATGATAAATGATTTAATTTATAGAATATATATATACGTAGTGATCCGTTTAACGTAAGACACTTTTATTTCTGAAACGACTAACGTTTTTGGAAAGTATTACTTTTACTCTTTTTGCTATTTTCATCGTTGTCATTTTTATTTTCAAAAACTCTAATAGTTTTCAAAATAATGTTCAATGGATTATCATTATTATATATATATATATTATTAGATACCTTTATCAACGGGACGCGTCTTACTGTAATTCGGCGTCGATCTAATTATAATAATATTATTTATTAGCCATCTAAGTACACGCATATTATTGTTATAGATACGAGTGTTTCTACGCTAGCGGACTGACGAAAAAAAGGGATGAAAAAACGTGCCCTCATTTATAACTACAATAGCGTCACTGTGTTATATAATGCACCGTCATTGGGTACCTATATAATATAATATCGTGTGGACTTGTGTGACTCGGTGGACCGAGTATGCGGTAACAGAGGTTAACCAAAATAATACCCCATCCGGCCGGTATCATATAATATATTTTTAACAGCCTCGAGTTTTCCACAGTAGGGCTGTTTCGATTAAATAACAATATTATTATTTATTTCTGCGTTCCGACGACCATGGAGATCATTATCATGTACCGGTATCGATTGGATCGGTTTTTTACCGGTCCCCTTTTTCGTTTTCCACAGTCGTCGCAGCGACGCTATCTAATGGTTTTTTTTTTCCATTATAATATAATATTATTGTATCTTTTTTTTTTTTTTTCGGCCGAGTGTTATCTCCGCGAGTAGCCATATTGTTATATTATGTAATAATATATATTATTATATCGGACGTCACGACCCATACAATTATTACACTATATTATGCTTTACAATGTATACATATATATGTATATTGTACATAATATACAATACGAGATTTGAGCACCGAGGGTATTGTGAAAATGGATGGCTCCTCGGGGCGTAAACCCGAAATATAAATTCATGTCGTCTGGGCGAACCGTACAGTCAATGACCATTTAAATTGCCTCTATAGATATAATCATAATTTTTTTTTTTACTGATGCTCATCGTTGTTGACATTACAATCTACAGTTTTCTATAAAAACTGGATAATAATGGTGATTGGCGATCATTGCATCAACTAAACCTATACATAAAAAGTTTGGACTTTTGAATTTGTTGGTGTTGTTGAAAATCCAATTAATTCGGAATCAAAAATTGAAAACAGAAGTATATGAACAAAATGTCTAAATTAAACATTTTTATGAAAATTTTTCGAAAATTTTCTATTTCTCATTTAAATTTCATCAAGAGATTTGCGTTCATCGACCTTTTTACTGCGTGTACCCGAAACCGCGCAATGGTAAACCTCGTCCTCGCTCAGGGTTATAATATAATATGTTTTAGGTATATACATATATTATTACTCTGCCGTATTCGGGACTCGTAGTTTAGGTTTCGTGTACACGTTATATAAGTATATATACGCACCGACTATAAGAGCGTTTTTATTTACTCACTGCGTCGGACTCCCCGCAGGGCATTTCCGAAAATCGCTCGGATCCGGAAGCAATTTCGTCCTCCAGCCGTTTTACGACGGTGGCGGCGGTCGTCGCATAGCTCGGACCGGAAGTCGACCGGCGCTCGTATATTTATTATCTCGGCGTTTAGTGTTTTTTTTGTTTTTCGATGACGAAAAGCTTTCGCGGCGGTGACGAACGGTGTTCGTCGGCAATATAATTTATTATCGCATATATATATAGTTACGTGCTGTGTACGTATTACATCACTACATGTGTGCACATGTACACAACGGGCCAACCTTCGAAATCGTCTGTCGAATTCCTCGAGCTCACATATTATGTATTATACAAAGGTCGTAAACCACCGAGTCCCCCGGAGCTCTCTGATCGTCGAAAGGCAATAATCGTATAACCCCCGATCGATTAACCGTGTCTTTGCAGGACTTTTAATGTAAGCTTTACGACGCGGCGAGCCGTAAAAATTCGACAGTGGTGACGATGAAAATAATAATAACAATAATGGGTTAGGTGTGCGGCGAAATGAGCCTCGTCGACGAAATTGGTTTTTCGGCCAAAGATAAGTGCGATCGAAAGTGTACGTACTATTATTTATTCTCCTATCGTTATATACAGCAGAAGTCATACAAACAGAATTCGTATCGTAGAAAAAAAAATTAATTTACACTGATAATATTCATTTTTGAGTATTAAAACAACACGATTGCCATGACCTGCCTGTAAGATTATATTTTTATACGGTTTTTTTTATTTTACCCACTCTAAAGTGACTTCGATGAAAGGTCTCTCGCCCATTCATAATATTAACCCATCGTACAAAACTTACAAAATAATTAAGTTAAAAAATAAAACGGACCTATAACCTGCCTGGCAAATATCGGTGCTACTATTCCGGTATTTATACCCCAGTCTCAACTTAGCTGCTTGGTAACGATACGATATCAGTTTCAAAATCCCTGTCAAAAGGAATGTAGTGTCAGGCAAGACCGTACTAGGTCAAACATTTCTACCGGGAAAATAAACGAAATCGGCCCACCAAAAAACATTATATATTTTCAAATAAAATTATTGTGTATTATTTTGAGAATTTCAACACTTAATATTATTATCGAAATTAAAAATGTGTTAGTACAAAGGTATGTTATCATTTTTATTTAAAATTCTCCAGAATACACATTAATGCATATATTATTATTTATTAAGCAATTTGTTAAGGTTTGAGCTCTTTTGAGAAATTGTGTCCACCGAACACATTATTATACCTTAGTTCAACCACTACGGCGGCACCGGAATAGGTGGGAGTTTGTGTGATGATAATTGTCGCACATTTTAGGCGGTGCAGACGTGGGTTACGATAAGGTAGGGATTACCGATTAACGAAGACAATAATATGACACAACACACAAGCATCTTTTTTTGACAATTTATACATTTTTTCATATCTATTTTAAAGAATTTCCTTAATTATAAATAGTCGTCTAATACAATCGCATTAGAAAATGCATCTGTGTCTGTCGACAGGATGAGCCTTAACCTGTAAACTTAAAAAAAAAACGTACAAGCGGCCCATCGGGAAACTCCCAGTATCCCGCCTGCCCAGTCAGGCTCTGGTGTCGGGTGGTCTGAGCAGAGGTATGGCATAATAATATATTTTGTTGTTATATTACATAAAGCTATTTGTAAGGGCGTGTGCAAACCGTTTTAGTAAATGTTTATTTCACAAAAAAAATAAATTTTGGGCGAATAAGTATATGAATATGTTTATAGATAAATTAACTAATATAATATTTTGTAGTAAATTTAGGGCTGGAATTTAAAAAAAAAATTCCGTTTTATATGTGATTTAAATTAAAACGTTACACAATTTTTGCGATTATCGTTATAGAGAATTAAAACGTTATTCAACATTTGCGTTTATCGTTATTTAGAATCAAAACGTTATGCTAGTTTTGTGTTTATCGTTATTCAGAATTAAAACGTTATACAACGTTTGAGTTTATCGTTATTTAGAATAGTGTTAATACCTATATTAAATTTATTAATAATAACTAATGCGGTTAGGTAATGGCCCGGATACGGAATATAATATAATCAATTATAATGTCCGTCGGAATAAATATTTCTACGAAATCAATATAACTTTTAAGTAAATGGATTTTAAATTATTTCGTACTGCGTTATTTTTCGTTCAATGAAATTTTATTAACTACTTTTTGCGATATTTTTGTTTAATGATATTCTATAAGTTACGTTTTGCGTTATGTTTTGTTTGATGGTATATAATATTATATTTTGTTAATCGTTATGTTTTGTTTTGCGGTATTCAATTATTTTTGATAATCGCTTCCCGTTATAATTACGTTTACAAATTTCAATCGTTTTTTTTTTTGTCGAATATAACGTTATTATAAAGTTTGCAAGCCCTGGTTATATGTACGGCATTATTGTCAATTGCAAAAGTAAAGCATCATATAAAATACATAATTTATAATATTAATAATGAAATTAAAAAAGTCGTTGGTGTAGTTATAATGTACCTAATGTAGAATCAACATTAATAACAATTTTGCAATAAATAAATTAAAATCGTATTGTACGATGTACATAATAGAAATAATTAATAACGAACCCAATTTTTAAAAACGTTCGCATCAAAGTCATCTGCAGGTATTACAAGGGTAAAAATAATTTCACTCGCTCAAACGGACCGTTTTTATCCAAAATATTACCTCCACCCCAACGACCCTCGCCCATTTGTATGTACCTAACGTCTCTTGTCAGTAGAAACTTTTAAAATCAAACGAAAAAAACGACCACGCACCGCATTCATAATTGTATATATTTTATAATTTATAATACCTCTAACACCTTTAGGTGACAAAAAGTTTGTGTTACTTCGTCTGCGGGGGATTATGTTTCACCCTCGAGTGTGCCCATGGTAGTGGCGCCT